GCAGCAGCAACACATCACGGCCACACCATCTTCTAAAAATTCATCTTACCGGCTGCCTCTTTGATGTTTTGATGTTTTGTTTAAATGCTCTGACTGATTTCAACATGCTCAACAAAGCTGTGCGGTTTGAGCACTATCATTGCAGAGCTGTCCTTCACCTTTATTGTCCCTGTGACACAAGGTGCTGGTATGATGGTTCCAACTGGGTATCTGCCAAGTTTGACTTCTGACCCCAAATATTGCTGGTTGAACTGTCTTACGTTTGTATTTTTTTCTCATTGGGTTGGGGGGGGGGCACTAGACCCTGTCTCTAGCGGGTCACCTGACCATCAAACATTCACACAAACTCAATTGCACCTAGGGACAATTTAGAGTCACATAATGGAACTCTAAAAGCTGTTGCAGATTGATTTCACAGTGATAAACATCAGCTGAAAGTGATGGGAGCCTCCTGTAGGCTGATGGGTTAACCATATAATGATATATTTAAAGATAACCCTGTTGTTGCTTTTCAGTCATTGCGGTCATATGTTCATCCCTATAACTTAGTTCCAGAGCATTTTATTGACACGACACTGTTTCTCTTCAGACCTTCTCTCCACTTCAACTCTATTTGCATTTCTAAACCAGCAGAGTCATTAAAAGGCAACCGACCACAGAAACACTGCCTCAGAGCAGAGTACCTTCCTGAAGCTGCAGAAGTATCGTCAGCCTTGGGGATGAGGGGGAAGCGGAGAGCCTCTACAGGTCCCCTGTGGGAACAGAAAAGAGGTCTTATTCCAACTTGGTGGAAAATGCCAGCACACACTGGGGCACCGTTACACACAGCTGGGATAATAAGTATCACAGGGAGAGTCACAATCCGCCAGAAGATTGAAACCAGCACATGCATTTATTCCCCATTCAGTGCCACCAATCTAAAAAAGCCAATCAATCACTTTGCCTTTGCTGTATACGGCTATTTTAATGACCGAATCAGTGTGGCATGTAATATAGGATGTGGTTTATAGGACCAGAGGGGGATCCGGTGATGGGGTGATTTGTTCCCCTGAATGAAAGCTTGAACTAAAAGGCTTTTAGCTTTAAATCCACACTTCTGTGTTTTGGCTGAACTGGAGGATTTTAATTAAAGATGCATAAAGAGTAACAAGATTTCTACATCCTCCAAGTTAAGACAAAGATGCAGCCCTCATGCATGTTACTAATCTTCAGATCTGTACGTGTGTGTGCAGATTATATGTTCTAATATCTGTATGATAATAGGATTTGTACATTTGCTACGACTGAAGCTCTGCTTGACACTTTTTCAACTCATTCATGAAGCAGATTGATATGCAGCCGAATCAACGGGAGACAGGCAGGAGTTCAAACCATAGGTTGCATTTATAACACAAAAAAGTCAATCATTATTGTTCATTTTAAAATGCAAACAGAATACTTGCTAGGTACAAGACATACTGTTATATTCATGCAAGAGGAAATATGAGTCTGATTCTTGTTTCAGCTTGGGTTTCTTACCCTGCTGTTGGCTGATTCTTGTCTTATTTTTCCACCCATCTCTCTCTCCCACTTCTCCTTGCTCGTTCTGCTTCCTGCCTGTCAGGTATAGGGAACTAAACCCAAAAGCAAGGCGTGAGAACGAGGAGGTAAAAGGCAAATGTCCTTTATTAAGGCAGAGGTCAAAAAGCAGGTAAATATTCCAACAAGCAAATCCAAGTTAGCTGGCAAAAAGAGCAGAAACTAGTGATGTGATGTTCACAAACGAATAGAATCTTTTGAACAGGTTTTCAAAGTGAATGATGAGAGCCGAGTCCCTGCAGACATCCGTTCATCTTAACAAACCTCTCCGGAAGTCAGTGAAACTCACCCGCTCAAACCCCACCCACTGCTGTGATGGATGGAAGAGCCATAAATCCCATCACTAGCAGAAATGGATGCACCAAAACTAAGTCAAAAATACTGACATGAAAAGCAGGGTGACAACGCATAGACCTGGGGAGTCAGAGCCTCACAGCCACATGATTAAAAACCTTGGACACAGGAAAAGGGCCAACAAACCTAGGGGCAAACTCACATGAGTCCAGATGCAGGGGAAGGTCCCGCGTCGACAGCCAGACTCTCTGACCCTCCCTGTAGACTGGAGCAGGAGAACGTCGACAGTCCATCGCGTCCATACATTGCCTCGACCTCAGAAGCAGGGTACGATGAGCTCTGGCCCAGGTGGTGCGGCATCGGCGAATAAGAGCCAGGGCTGAGGGCACTCGGATATCCCGCTCCTGAGAAGGGAACAGGGGAAGCTGGTAGCCGTGGACACAGTGAAAAGGGGACAAACCTGTGGAGGAGCTGGGAAGCGTGTTGTGAGCGTACTCCACCCAGATCAGTTGAGAGCTCCAAATGGCAGGCCGGCCTGCAGCCAGGATGTGTAAGCCCGTCTCCAATACTTGGTAAATCCGCTCCGACTGCCCATTGGACTGGGGGTGGTATACAGATGACAAGCTCATGGTGGCACCCAGCAGGGAGCAGAAAGCCTTCCAGAACCGTGAGACAAATTGCGGACCTCGGTCGGACACTATGTCGGTGGGGAACCCGTGTATCCTGAACACCGGCGAGAGCATGACCTTGGCTGTCTCCTTGGCAGAGGGCAGTTTGGGTAATGGGATGAAGTGAGCCATCTTGGAGAATCTGTCCACCACTGTGAGTACTACAGTGTTACCTCTGGCCACTGGTAACCTGGTAACGAAGTCCAACGATGTGGGACCTGGGACGATGCGGGACAGGGAGTGGATGAAGCAGACCGGCAGAGGGCTTGGAAGACGACATGTATCTGGAGCAAACTGAGAAAGCAGCCACGTATTCACTGACCTTCTCCATAGCAAGCAACTAGAAATGTTGCTTAACTAGGAAGAGAGTTCTTCGTACCCCAGGATGGCAAGCAAAACCAGAGGCATGAGCCCAATGGATTACCTCTGAGTGGTGGTCAGGGGGAACAACAAGCAGCCCTTGAGGACAACCGACTGGGGTTTGGGTCCTGATAGATGGCCCATCTCACCTTCTCCTCTACTCCCCAGGTTATGGGCCCAACGACACAGGAGGGAGGGAGGACACTAGCAGGTGGTTCCAGAGCCGGTGAGACAGGTTCGTCCAAGCGGGAGAGGGCATCTGGCTTCTGGTTCTTGGACCCTGGATGATAGAAAACAGTAAAGTTAAAACGTGCAAAGAACCGAGCCCATCTGGCTTGGCGTGGGTTGAGCCTCTTGGCACTCCTAGGGTATTCGAGGTTCTTGTGGTCCGTCCAAACCAAAAAAGGCTGCTGGGAGCCCTCAAGCCAATGTGGTCACTCCTCCAATGCCATCTTGATGGCGAGTAGCTCTCGGTCTCCCACGTCGTAATTCCTCTCCGCAGGTGACAGCTTGTGGGACAAGTAGGCACAGGAATGGATATGGCCATCCTTGGTTGACCGCTGCGAGAGGACTGCGCCAACCCCCGTGGCCGAAGTATCCACCTCCACCACGAACTGAAGAGTGGGATCTGGCAAGGTGAGGATAGGTGCAGAAACAAAGCAGTCTTTCAAACTATGAAAGGCTGCATCTACTCGAGGAGACCAGACAAACCTGGAAGCTGGTGAGGTCAGGGAATGCAGAGGGTTTGCGATGGTGCTGAAGCCCCGAATGAACTTCCTGTAAAAGTTGGCGAAGCCAAGGAACCACTGAACCTCCCTCCTGGAGGTGGGTACTGACCAATCTTTAATGGCTGCCACCTTAGCGGGGTCCATCTGGGTTCTACCCTGCCCCACCACAAGACCAAGGAAAGACACAGAAGAGACATGAAACTCACTTTGCAGCCTTAACAAAGAGCTGGTTGTGGAGGAGACGATGGAGTACCCGGTGAACATGCACTCTATGGGTCTGCTCATCAGGAGAAAACACAAGGATGTCATCCAACTAAACAAATACAAACACATTCAGCATGTCACGAAGCACATCATTAATTAGAGCCGGAAACACAGAGGGTGCATTAGCCAGACCAAAAGGCATGACTAAATATTCATAATGTCTAGTACGTGTATTGAAGGCAGTCTTCCACTCATCCCCCTCCCGTATCCTAATCAGATGGTAAGCATTTCTCAGATCAAGTTTAGTGAAAATCTTAGCACCCTGTAACATCTCAAATGCAATAGACATCAACAGGAGGGGGTACCTGTTCTTGACGGTGATGTCGTTGAGTCCTCGATTGTCTATGCAGGGGCGCAGGGTCTTGTCTTTGTTACAAAGAAGAACCCCACTCCTGCAGGAGAGGATGATGGACGGATGAGGCCAGCCTTAAGGGCAGAGTCCACATAGTCTTTCATGGCCTGGTGTTCGGGACTGGAGAGAGAATAGAGATGACCCCTGGGTGGTGTCGACCCTGGTAGCAGGTCGATAGAGCAATCATAAGGTTGATGTGGAGGCAATGAAGTGGCCCTGGACTTGCTAAAAACTTCCTTGAGGTCGTGGTAACAGGCTGGGACAGAAGACAAGCAAGGATAATCCATGTCCAAAATAGCAGCTGTGGCTGACTGAACTGATGGGTTCTCCAAACAGTGACAAGTCCAGGAGCTAATGGAGCCTGTAGCCCAGTCGATGACCGGACCATGTTTCTTCAGCCATGGGAACCCCAATATCACTGGGTGTGGATGGAAGGAGGAGACCAGGAAAACGATGGACTCAGTGTGCTGATCTGGGAAGGTAAGCAGCACCGGAGGAGTCTGTAACGATACCGAACACAAGAGGCAATAATCCACAGTAGTAGCCTGAAGGGGCTTCTCAAGAGTCTGTAACTGAAGCTTCAGTCATGCTGCAAGGGATGTATCCATCAAGTTGGCATCAGCACCAGAATCAATTAAAACAGTTTGTCTAACAGTCTTGTCTGAACTGGTTAAGGTAACCACAGGATTCACTCGTTTTACTGACGAAAAAGTGGTTCGACTCACCATGGTCTTCTGGGTCTGGAGTGTTCTCCTGTTGACAGGACAGTTCCCCACAAGGTCACCGGCCTGGCCACAGTACATGCATAGGCCCAGCCTCCACCGTCGCTGTCGTTCTTGTGGCGAGAGACGGGCTTGGCCGAGTTCCACGGGTTCGTCTGTCTTAGTGGATGACGTGGGACAGTGCGTTGGCGTGAAGGTCGAGACAGGCGGCTGACTGCCAAAACCGATGATCCCAGGTTCAGTACTCCAACCCACCGGCCGATTGATGGAGCCGCCCCACTCTCTCCTCCTGTCATAGAGTCTCTTGTCTAACTTAAAGAGCGGGTCAATTGAGCCTCGGAGTCCTTCTCCACCCACGTATCAATTTAAAAAAATGCAACATTAGTAGGCGTTGCCTGGAGGACCGAGAGGGCGGAGCCGCGGCAGTGACGAAGACGACGGCTAACTAGAAGATGCTAGCTCCCTTCACTCTATGCAGTTATTAGAAGTGGAGGATGTTTCTCCCCCTCCTTACCCAGACACTCGAGAAGAAAGGGACCAAGTCTATTTGGAGGAGACAAGCAGACCTGAGCCTTATTGTTGTGAGCTTGTGAGTTGCCTGTAACTCCCAGAACCACCTCTGAACGCAAGTAGCCGTTAGCCATAGCATTGGATTAGCTGCAGGGTTCGTCTCCACGGCCCCCAGAGCTAGTATTCAGCATGTTTTAGAGGTTTATCTGCTTCAGCACACCTGGTTTTAATCAGCAACAAATAGCTGAGCTGCTTAACAGTTAATCTAACCTGTTAAAGCAGGAAAATCCACTGAAACATGCTGGATAGCAGCTCTCCGGTAGCTTTGGGCTCAAGTTACAGTCTGCTGCATAAAGTTATGAAAATGCCCCATGAGAAAATTATTCTGTAATGTGTTCAGCTCACTAAAACTGCCCTGGTTTATTTATTTACCGATAACAGCTGCTCTCTTGGTTCTAGGTCCTCTGGTGTCTGCAGGTGGTCTCCTCTGCTGGTGTCGTCAGGATCAGGAACTTCCAGAAGAATGTGCCTTTCAATGACTCTTTCCCCCTTATTTGTTATATTAATTAAATAAATCTAATTTTATATATTATATATTTCCTGTTTTTGTTCATGTCCATAAATACTTAAACATGCTTGAAATTAAAACGAGCTTTTAACAGTGAGGTGCTAGTTTAATTCATCACAATAGAGCAAGTTAAACATGCACTGTGATAATTCAATTAATGTAATTTATAAATACCCATTAAAATATCAAAACTGGAATCTATATGAGATATTTGGCAGCACAAAAAACTTGTCAAACACAATATTTATTATAATAATAGTAGGCAGACAGGACACAGAGCTGATGGAGGTTCTCAGTCATCGAAGGATGGCTGAAGGCTTTCCAGGAACAGGAGATGTGGTGTTGTCTCTTCTCTCTCTATTCTGCCAGATGAGCTGATAGGTTACAGGTGTGTGAGGACATCCTCATGCTGTCATAACCAGATGACAGGAGTTATCAGGTGATCAGCCAGGCTAATGAGATGCAGAAAGAAAACAAATTCAGGACAGTGTACAATATGTGGTGTTGCTCACCTTATGTGCTCTTATAGAGTTATTAACGTGTGCCTGCCTCATGGTGTAGAGTCCATATTTTGCTGAGTGTCCTGCAATAATGCAGGTTATTAGTTAATTTACTTTTGATAGCAAAAACAAAATATTTAATGTAAAAGTTGTTTTCCAGGTGAAGCAGCTCACACGTCACCACCAAGTGTCCCGGGGGCAGAATCAGTAGCCTCCGTCATGATGTCATGATGTAATCACATACTTATTTAATTGTTAATATCTTAAAAATTCTGAAATGTTTTAATTTTTTTTTACCTTGAACAGTTCACTGAGCTTGCACTGTCATTGAGGTGGAAGCTGGAATCAACAGCAGACACCTCACATCTTGGTCTTTTCAGGGGGTGTGGCCGCTGCTCTGGGACCTTCTGGAAGATGAATTTTCATCATGGTCCCCGTGGGTCACCAGACACACTGCGGCTGTGAACTCCATTCTGGCTGGCTATGTAAAAACAAAGAAGCAGCACATTTATAAATGTTTAAAAGAGCATAAAATCACGTGTAACAATAATCTGTAAAACAAATTAAAACTATAAATGGTAAATGGTAAATGGCCTGTATTTGATATAGCGCCTTCTAGAGTCCTGAAACCCCCCAAGGCGCTTTACAACACAACCAGTCATTCACCCATTCACACACACATTCACACACTGGTGGGGATGAGCTACAATGTAGCCACAGCTGCCCTGGGGCGCACTGACAGAGGCAAAGGTAATAATAAAATGTTTACATAGAATATTATTAAAAATAATTCACCTTTGCTACAGGTAAGGCTTCACGTCTGCCTGGACAAGTGCATTCTTGCAGCTAAATCAGTCTGACAGCCAGTGTCTTGGGTAGATTTAGCCTGAAAAAAAAAAAGCACATTGTTGTTTGGAGTTTATAAAGTCAGATAATATACAAAAGAAACTGTCCTATATAGGCGCTTTATAACATTCCTAGTGTGTGATCATTATAATGTAAAAGTCAGTCACATATGATGTGGAGAGCCTGAAATGCGACCTCCTGAACAGAATTCCTCACAGAACCTGTTCACAGGCTGAATTTCACACTGTAATGCTGTCTGTCAACTAGTGCAGCGTTAGTTAGAGCCACTGTTGCAGAATTACCGACTGACTAGCTAAAGGAAGTGAACCACGTCTCTCAGACTTTGCATTTAGGTAGGGAATCGTCTTTAGAAGATGTTAAAATGTTTATTTAGCTTACTCACCTCAGACTGGAGCCCGCCGTGGTGGGGGAGCAGAGTCGGTGGGCTGCATCTAAATCGCGGAAGAGCCACGGTGGGCAGCCTCCCTCTTCAAACGGAGACGTGCAGAATCGCGGGAAAATGCCCACAGAGTCACCACAAGCATACTACACTACACCTACTCACCAATACTAAGACGATATGGAGCACTAAACCCGAACTACTTTCCCAATTACACTAACAGCCAAACACTAACTAAACTACAATATCCAACAGCCAAATCTAACACTAAATAAGTATTTATAACACTAAAAGATATGCTAAGACTAGGATATGCTAATGCTATATGCTAATGCTGAACTACCGCTGACCTCCAACACTCGCTTGCAAATCCAACTCCCACTCGCCACAGGGCGTGGCGGAGACGCTCGTTGCTTTTATAACTTTGGCACGGAGCTGCTACGTAGTACTCTACTGGTTTACGTAGTACTTTACTCTTTAGCCATTGGCTAAAATTTATTCAAAATGACTCAAATTCTATGTTTTCAGCTGAAGGTGGCGCATTACTGTGGTTTTTAGAAGGAATTTTAAATTTTTAAAGAAAATGCACCAAAATGCTAAAATAAAGAATGCACACATTTAAAACACTATTAGACACTCATTTATACAGTTCATCAGCAAAAAAAAGTTAATTTAGATGTTACTTGCTCTTTAATGACAAGAGCAATGAGGTCGTCTAGATCTGTAGGGAGATCAAGTGGAGCCAAACAGTCCTTTAAATAATTATTTAATCCTTCCAAAAAAGGCGTTGCATAGGGCTGGCTGGTTCCAGTCACTACTCGCAGAAAGGGTCCGGAACTCATTGGCATAATCCATCCATCCATTCATCCATTTTCTGAACCCGCTTTGTCCACATAGGGTCTCGGACGGGGGTGGGGGGGTGGGGTGGGGTGGGGGGGTGGGGGGGCTGGTGCCTTTCTCCAGTGGTTAACGGGCAATCAGGCGGGGTACACCCTGGACAGAGAGCCAGTCCATCGCAGAGCTCGATGGCATAATCAGCAGCCCTTCTCCTTCCCTGCTGTAATCTGTAAAGAGCCCGGGCGGCCTCACGACCGGGTCGAGTATGATGAAATATCTGCTTTAAGCTGTGTGAGAAGAGGGCTAAAGAGTCACATGCGTGGGTCTGGCGTCCCCATTCACTCGTTGCCCAAGCCTCCGCTCTCCCCGACAAGTGTGAGATGATAAAAGCCATCTTCACTTTATCAGTAGGGTAGGAATTAGGTAAGAGTTCAAAGTGAATTGAGCACTGAGTCAAAAAAGCCAGTTACCAGAATCTCCAGAGAACTTATCTGGTCGAGCGAGCTGCGCCTGTGGAGCCGATGAAGATGAAGGAAGTGGCGGAGCAGGCGTGCCCTCGGGATTCAGCTGGGCAGCAGAAGCGCCAGCGGCAGGAGCAGAGTCCGTGTTAACAGGATGATCATCTCTGGGCGGAGGCTCCGAGTTGCACCGCAGATGCTGTATCTGGCTGATGAGAATTCCCAGTTGTTCACCTACGGATGCCATAAACTGTTCCTGTCCAGCTGACATCTGTTGGATTCGCTGGTCGAGATCAGCAAGATGTTCCTCCTGCTGTTGCAGCCTCCTGCCTTGAGCACCCAAAGTGCTAAGTACTGTTTCCGAGCCTGCTGGGTCCATGTTGGCCAGTTCGTGCTGTCAGGTATAGGGAACTGGACCCAAAAGCAAGGCTTGAGAACCAGGAGTTAAAAGGCAAATGTCCTTTATTAAGACAGAGGTCAAAAATCAGGTAAATATTCAAACAAGCAAACCCAAGTTAGCTGGCAAAAAGAGCAGAAACGGATGCACCAAAACTAAGTCAAAAATACTGAGAGCAAACACTAATCACAGCTGGAACAAAGAGCTAGAAGACAACAACGAACTGGCAACTGAAAAAGATAACAGAGAGAGATTAAATACAAGTGAACACAGCTGGGATGAATCTGGTTAACGAAGGACAGGAAGTGACACAGAGGAGAGAGGAGGATGTCAAAGTAAAACAGGAAACAAAGAGCTGGGCTCCTGGCAGGGTGTGACACTGCCTTCCTGTTTAATAAGTTAGTTTGAATGACTGAAACCAAATATAAAGCCCAAGACCCATTAGCAGGGTATAAAAGTGGAGCCCTAATGGCTAAAACCATTATATCATTTGGTACCGACTCTGAGTGTAGTGCATGTGTTGCTGCAGGAAAACTGAGGTGGTGGAAGGCGGGAGGTGAGGTGGAGGTGGGGTGGGGTGTGGTGTGGTGGGGGGAGTAAAGAGCTCTCTTTCCATTAGCTGATTGACTTGGAACCAAGTCCTGTTGGCTGGCACTTGTTTTCCTCACGTTCAATAGAACCAGGGTATAAACATCTTTGTTATAGGAAAGGAAAAAAAGAATCATCAGAAAAAAATGTTCAAGCAACAATCCCCACCCCTCACCCGGCGGTGTATGCTAGTAAAAGCCGTTGCCTTAGTACATTTCTGAGTGTCGTTGATGTTTTGTATTAGGCGCTCCATATTTTGTGTGAGCCAGAGTGAAGGCCTAATGGACCATAACGTGCTGGAGTGGCTGGCCGGCTGTCTCAGACACCACATCACACATTAGGATCCAACGTTTACTCCAGTGCAATGTCAGATTGAATAAATGATAAATATAAATGATATATATACTTGTGCTGGCTCTGTTGCTTCAAAGGCTTCACAAACCATAAGTGTTCTTTTTCTTTGAAACCAGGTCAGCCGCTAAGTTCTTTGAATAGAAAAGGAAGGGATGGGAGGTGGGGGTGAGGGTTGCTTGTTGTGCTTATGGGCTCACAGTGTTGTGCCCAATGGATGGAGCATGTTTTATGTTGGAAATCAACATGTCTTCGATGGTGTCTGGGAGGAAGACGTGTGTGTGTGTGTGTGTGTGTGTGTGTGTGTGTGTGTGTGTGTGTGTGTGTGTGTGTGTGTGTGTGTGTGTGTGTGTGTGTGTGTGTTTTCTCGTAGTTTGCTTAGAAGAAGGCTTAAAAGAGTGCTGGGTGGATATTTTTAAACACTAAGAATACAGAGCTGTTATCAACGATGTTAAAGGGATCCTAGTGTGATGACTGGTTAAAGCTTCACATGGCGGGATTTTTAATTGTTTGGTAATTTCTAAGTCCAGTATGTGTCATGATTTGAATTGGTAATGACCAAAATATGGTGATATTGAAAGATCTTGGGCCCTCATTCATCAAATGTTTGCAGAAATATTCCTAAAGTCTTTCCTATGAGTGAAATTTAGAATGTTCATACGAACAGTCAAAATCCTGATTTAAGAAACATACGGTGGCCTCTCGTAAGCATGTTCCTCCACACTCGTCTGATGATAAATCCCACCTGTGTGAACCCAGGTGCTCTTGTCCATTCTCAATCGTTTACATACAGAAAGGCCCTCAATTACCATTTTTGGTCACGCTACGTCCTCTGCATTCCCGGAAAAAAAAGAAAATCTTGTTGTGAGATCGAGACACAAGCTGCAGGGGTGAAAAATAACCAAACAAGTTGCAGAGGTTATAAATGCAGTTGGGACAGAGGAGAGGTTCCTGTCAGGAATAAATAAAAAAACTTAAATACTGATCAATCGTAGAGTAACGAGTTGTCATTTAAATTTAAGATGTTGTTCTGGTTGAAGTTAGTTTATTTGAAATGTTGATGGAGCTGTAATTTTGCCTGGTTACCTTGACAACGCGGTGTGTGTGATTAGCAGAGCAGAGGAGGTTCTGGAGGGTTCTTGTAGTTGTAAAATAGAATATGGACTGGTACCAGATGTGTGTGGTTTGTTTTTCGCTCCACAAAGAGTTCAAAATCACAGCACAGCTCCAGGATCTCCTTTCAGCGCGCTCACGAAAACACATTCACTCCAGAGAGCACGCTCTGACCAATCCTTAATAATAAGAAGAAACAATATTTAATCTAGCGCATCTCAAGCAAAATCACGAGGCGCTTCACAAGGACAAAAATATAATAAAATAATTTTTATTAATAAATTTTTTTTAAAACATCATAAAAATGAGAATGGTAAATTTTGTGATTACAAAAAACATGAAATCCATTCTACAATGTCAGATTCCCGTTGGGTGTTTTAGCACCAGTTAAGTGACTCAGCTGTTTTTCCACCAAAATAATTATATATTCAATAAAATCATTTATGAATGAGGAAGGCTTCAGTGTTAGCCGAAACTTATCCACAAAAAACGATAAAAAATCTTCTACTACACTGTATTTAAAAAAGAATTAAATCAATGGTAATTACTATGTGAAGTGCCTTAAGACGACTCTTGTCGTGATTTGGCGCTATATAAATAAACTTGAATTGAATTGAATTGGAAGGATTACATAGAAATGAATGAACAAAAGAAGACTAGAGCACTCTTAACACACCACACATGGTAAGATTACCTTTACAGGTGTCACAGTAATTGGGTGTATCCTCAAGACTGTTAGAAGGGGAGATTTTGGGTTAAAAATTAATAAATAATAAAAATAATTATCCCTAAATTGTTGTCACAGGGCAACAGAAAGTGGTAAATCCATGTCGTTGCAATTTATTTTTTATGTCACTGAATCGTTTCATAATATGTCCTCAAATTAAGAAAAAGTTTCAAATTGTACAAATAAAAGTAGAGCGTAGCAGGTGGGAATGTGCAGCCCAAAACTTAATGAAGTCAAATGTAGATTGATGAAAATGGATGGGGAAACACAGCAGGATGCAAACACCATATAGAACCCTAATGGGTAAATAAAGTCGACCTGTATGTAACAGAATGAAATGACTGTTTTTTTCTCCTCCTCTGCACAAGACTAGTCTGCAAGAGATATGTCCTTACATATACGAGCAGCAAATCAGGTCATTTAAACATGTTTCTTCTAACTGTCACCATCTCTTCTCTTCTTTGCCCATGGAGTTTGACAAAGCTACATTTCAAAGACCAGCCTACGTATTAGATAACTAACCCCACATAATCCCTGTCAATGGCCCTTGCTGCACCGTCTCAATGACTGGATGGCTTAGTGCTGCACTCAGACGTTGCTATTTAGTCTAATCATTGCCATCATAAACCATCTTTATGATGAGTCCTTTTCGGGCCTTTGGATTCCCCACCTTTGAAAAATAATTACAAGATGAGAGAAGCTGGCTACCACATGGCTCTTTGGTGATAATTTCATTTGGGCGGTTGTATGTGGCAAACCATGAGACACGAATGCTGCATGAGTAATGATACCAGCGAGCAGTCTAGACTCATATTTAAGGAAAGGTTTTCCTGGATGTACTCTCCAATAACAAGCCATCTTTTTTATGTTAAGCTGGAAAATTATTTTTTAAATGTATTTTTCATTTCAGTTTGTCATGTCTTCCTCTGCAGACTAGTGAATAACTGTAGGAGATCAACTAAAGGGTTTATTTACTGATAAATAGATGTTTTCTGTTGCTTTTAAAGCTATTATGAAGAAACTGTCATCGAAACATTAATAGTTTATGTCTGTTTTGTTAACTTTGTCTTCAAAAAATTTATTTTTGGAAAAATATGAAAATGAATGCGAAATAAAAATAATTTTCAAAACACATTAAACTCTTTATTTATACTTGATATATTTAGTTCTGCAGAATTATTATCTAAAGCTTGATTATTTGGTTATTCAGCCACTGCTAAAGTGTCTACTGCATTTTATTACACATAGTTAACCAGTTTTACCATAAGGACTCAACAAATGTTTACTATTATGGTTGATCTTTTCTATTTTAAGAAAACACTGGCGAAATGATCTTTTCCTCCCCTTTGCTAATTATAAGGAACGACAAATGTAGAAGTCGTTTTTTTAGATACACATTGTTTTGTTTGCTGTGGCACTGCAAACACAAAGGAGTGTGACTGTTTTTGAGCATCTTACAATAAACACAGGTTTTTATAAAATTTTATAAAATATGTTGTGTTTACCTGAAGTTCCAGATAGGGCCCAATAACAAGAGTCCACAGGTAACATCTGATTTGTTTTGACCTTCAGAAAAAAAACTTTTGTCAACTATGTCTGAACCCTAATAGTGCTTTATTGTTTTGTGCCCGCCCCACCCTCACCCCCCCCCACCCCCCCCCACACACACACACACGTATTTTTGTTCAGCAGGTTGATGCATCATGAATTAGGAGGATCCAGTTGTTAAATATTCATAATTTCTCACTGGAATCTCTAATTAAGTGATGCTCCTCTGGGTTTCACTCAGTCATGTGCTTAGGCGGAATGTAGTTAGGCAGTGGCCCCTGTGGGCTACCATCTGTAAAACAGAGCTGCAATTAAATAAATAAATAAATAAATAAATAAACATGGTGTAGGCTTTCTGTTGCTTCAGGGGGGCAGAAAGGTCTGATTCCCCCCGTGTCGTGCACGACGAAATACAGATATGCTCTCTGTAAAATGTGCTTTACAATCAGGAGTGAGTCACAGGAACAAGATGCAGGTCGTGTGTAAAAGCCACTGGCGCACACGCACGCGCACACGGAGACATCACCAGCTGATATTAAGATGGGTGTGCGCCAGAATCAGTTTATGCTTGACTTGTTTTTGTAGAAAAAAATAAAGAAAAAGCTCCAGAAGAACGGCTGGTTGTGGTGAGAGCTATGACCGTGGGTGACGGAGCAGAAGGGAGGGAGGAGGGGTGAGCGACGCTCCGTTCTGCCTAGTGCAGGACGCAGGAGACGGTCGCTCTCCAAGGTGCTTAAAGTCAGAGCGCGCTCCGTCTTCAGTCTCGCCTACTGGCGATGGACCTCGGCTGCAGAATCCAGTGATGCCTGGCTCCAGTCGCAGTTGGGTTCATCTTTTTTATTTTTTATGTTTGACTCCCACCCTGGTGGATTCTTATTGAAAGCATCTGGATGTGCAACAAGACCGACTCTCGCTTTCAAACACTGACCTGCATCATCTGGAAATACTAAACTGACTCTGGATTCTCAGGGAATGCTACCGAAGGGATTTTTCTAGTAGTTTTCTTATCCATCCGCCTGCTTGTGTCGCATTTTGTTGAAGGAGAACTGCAATGTTGTTGCAGGAAATAAAAAGGTAAGTCGGATGAGGATGATCACAAAGAAGACCTACTTTTTCCGTGGATGTCTTTTCCTTTTGCGCTGGGAAGAGCAGCGCGAACGGCTCTTCGTTCATTGCTTTTAAGCCCATAAACCCGGAGGAGGCGGGGAGGAAAACACGGTCTCGTGGAGAATTTACCGCGTGGATGGAGGGAAGTTTCCAATAAGGCGACTATCTGATTTGTTCCGGCTCTTTTTATGCTCAATGTGTTGACTTTAAGAAGATATCAAACATTTTCCCTGCGGTGAGTTCGCCTTATCTCTCTTTTTTCCACAAATGTAAATCTGAAAAGGCACACATCTCCATCATACACGTTTAAACTCATCAGCGGCATTTCTGTTAGTTGCATGCAGTTGTGATGGTGTTACTGTGTTCCCCCTGCAAACGGGGTGGGGGTGCATTTGGTCATTGCCCCTGAACGTTTGCATACACGACTGATTCACTGTTGCACAGCGCGTTTACGCAGCGCAACCCAAACTGGTGGGATTACCCCATCCAGTGGAATAAGGCATCAACCAAAGCTACCTGTTGTCTCTGGACCCTCACACAAAGTTTCTTCTTCTTCTTTTATTGTTTCGGCCTTTGATGAATGCGGAAAAGAAAATGCACCCCACCCACTTAATAAACACAAATCTCCGTCCTTTCTGCGATCATGCACGAGATGTTGCACTATGCATATTATATAAGCCATGCCTATTGCATGCACGTTATGTAACATAAACCTGTTGATGAGCTGCAAAGGAAAGAAAAAATATTTGATTGCATAGAACTTGTTGGGGGGCAAACAAAAGTCGGATTGGTGCTAAACAGCTGCAGTGGAATCATCCTCTTTGGTGTATTTATTTATTATTCTTCCTCCGCAGCCCATCTACCTAGACATGATGACGGTGGTGATGATAAAGGTGGTGCTGCTATTGAAGAGCTGGACGGATTCGGAGCAGATACCAGGAGCGTAGAAATGTCATTCATGCACTTGGGTTGAGTGTGGATGTCAACGCCACGAGGAAGGATGCGCGCTCGCCTGTGGGCCGCCTCCGTCCTCCTCCTGTCCCTGAGCGTCGCGTCGCCGGCCGCGGTGGACAACCCGCAGGATTACACCGCGGACGAGGCCGAGCGGACCGCCGTTGATAACATCATCTTTGATGACTACCGGGGCAAAGGGTGCGTGGACGATAGCGGGTTTGTGTACAAACTGGGGGAGCGCTTCTATCCGGGACACTCTAACTGCCCGTGCGAGTGCACGGAGGACGGGCCGGTGTGCGACCAGCCCGAGTGCCCGAAACTGCATCCCAAGTGCACCAAAGTGGAACACAACGGATGCTGTCCCGAATGCAAAGAGGTCAGGAACTTTTGCGAGTACAGAGGGAAAACCTATAAAATACTGGAAGAATTCAAGGTAATACTATTTTTATTATTCAGATGGGATGTATTTGTTTTAGCATACATGGATGTTGCTCAAATGCTTTGCAAAACATGCCCTAACCATAACAAACTTATAAAAACTACATTTAAAATTATTTTCCAACTTAGTGCCATCAATCATCTGCAAAGCTCTACATTTTAATCATCAAATTGTGTTCATTGGCCAAAGGCACAAAGATGGCTGCCTCCATCAGGTGATGTCATCCCACCCCATCCCTGCCTCCCCAGCTGAGCATTTGCTCCACATTACCACGGTGACAGATGCTTAAGCTATTTTTTATTCTGCTGATTTGTGGACACTGAGTCATCGCCCTTCTTGAATGGTTTCCAGCCATCAGACCAGTGTCTCAGCAGTCGTTGTGTGTTTCAGCACCATCTGATTATGAATGACACCATGAGAGCATGACAAGCACATTCTGTGTTTAAACTGTTGCTGCCCACGAGGAGACCTCCTACTCTGAATTTGGCACTAGCAGACTGTGGCTGGAACTGATTGAAATAAGAAATGACACAACATGGTTAAAACAAGGGCCTCTATATGGTTCGATCATGGATTTTATTAATGCCTGTGCAAATAAATCAGGGACCAGAGAGAGCATTCATTACTTACTACACACATACTCTGCATACAAGATTTGTATGACACAATTACAATCTGAATAAAAATAACAGATTCATCTATTTAATTTTTACATTTTAGTTGTTTCTCTTGATCTAATTAAATAGTTCATCAAATACGATGGTGTGACCAATAAATTACCTTTTCTTTTTAATTTCTGAAGCATTATTCTACAGATAAATATTTTTTGCACCGTGTTTATTTAGATAAGCATTTCATTTGCAAACTATAACAAAGTCCCTCAGCAACTGTTATTTTCCAGTAGAAAATGGCATTTTGAGTCACCAGTTTTCTGCAACCATCTCAATATCTGTCCCTTTTTAAGTCAAGTGCTTCCAATTCATCTGAAGCAGATCAACTTTGAATGAAGCTACATTAAAGTGGCATTATACCAAAATTCAGTTTACAGATCTGCACACAAACACAAGTGGTTCAACCAAATGTGGACCCTACAAATGGCCAAAATGGGGTAAAAATTGCTATTTCTGTCCAAAATGGCCACAAACGTTTTACAAATGTATATAAATTTGTATAAAAATTACTTTGGATATATTTTTCTTCATTTAATCTGTTTGTTAATGAAGAGATTAAGATCTACGTAAATAAAACATTTGTGTTTTAATTTATTCTCATTAGGAAAATAGTTCAGCACCACTTTTCTAACAGCCTGTTGACATTTGTGCTCAGAACCAGTTTTCGTATGATAAAGAAGCAACTGCAAATTAATGTGTGAAGGGATTTTTCATCCGTTTTTATTTTATCCCAATTATTTGGGGGTTTTACTATTTGGAAATTGGGTTGCAGGGTGGAACAGCGGGTAACACGGTTTCTTCACATCACGAATGTTGTAGGTTTTAATCCTATGACTTTTCTGCATGAGGGTAGCATGTTGCCCAATGAGTGCATGTGTTTTCTCCAGGTACTCCAGTTTCCTCCCAAAGAAAAGAAAAACATGCATGTCAGGCTGATGGAAGCCTTGAAATTGTCCCTAGGTCTGAGTGAGTACTGTTGTTTAAAGTTAAAGTCCCATCAGTCATCATACACTGGTGAAATTACATCTCCGCATTTGACCCATCCCCATGGGGAGCGGTGAGCTGGGGCTGTGGCCATGCTCAGGAACTATTTGGCGGTTTAACCCCCCAATCCAACTCCTTAGTGTCGAGTAGGGAGGCACTGGGTAGTACCAGTTTAGAACCCCTATCTCCCAGCCCCAGGGCTAAGACTCTACCAATAGGCCACTGAAAATATTTGTCTACATTTGTCTTTGTAATGGACTGGTGACCTGTGTAATGGAAATGAAGGGTATTATAATTTAATTAATGACCAGAGATATTAATGATCCATACCTGTGGCATGGGTCCCATCTCTGGACACTGGGCTGTTCTTAAATCAGAAGAGTGGTCTTTTTTATTACAGGGAAATTTAAATTAAACACTTTGCATGGACTGAGAGACAAGAGAAGAGAGAGAGACCTTGGAACGTTTAAGAAAATTTTATTATCTAAATTATTTTTAAACAATTAACAGGACTAACTCTCTACTGATGGATGCAAATGGAATGTAATGAGGTGGAGTGTGTGTTGGTGTGATGTCAGTTCAGAATCTCCGTTCTGGAGAAGCGAGTCTGAGTGGGAGATGTTGTTTTGCTCCTAACTGATCAACGTTTGAATCGTAGTCAGAAAAGACATGAGACGCTATCTTGCCGTTCTACATTACCCGTCAGGGACTCCCGTGTTAGATCAGGCTGGTGCCTATCTCCAGCGGTCAACGGGCAATCAGGCGGGGTACACCCTGGACAGAGAGCCAGTCCATCGCAGGGCAACACAGAGACACACAGGACAATCACACACACACACACTCACACCTAAGGACAATTTAGACAGACCAATTAACCTAACAGTCATGTTTTTTGCGGGCTGTGGGAGGAAGCCGGAGTACCCGGAGAGAACCCACGCATGCACAGGGAGAACATGCAAACTCCATGCAGAAAGATCCCAGGCCGGGAAGCGAACCCAGGACCTTCTTCCTGCAAGGCAACAGCTCTAACCACTGCGACACTCATTAAATCATAGCATTGTGATTTCACAGATCGGTCACATGGTTATTATTGACTAACAGTTGTTTTGATTAGCTTTATTAAAACAGAGTTCTTTGATTAATTAAAAGAAAAGTGTTCTTCTTTCTTCTGTCTTCTTGCTGGAATGTAAACATTAGAAGTGAATGCATGACCGTGGCTGTTCATGCACACTGGCACTGTGTCACAAGGACAGCTGTTAGAGGGGAGAAATGGTTCCTTCATCGCGTTAAACCTGTGTCCCCCGCCTCATGTTTTATGACTGCTGGAATTAGCCACAAGCTCAGTGTGACCAAAGAGAATGAATCGATTTATATCATAGATTAATAGAAAACACAAAATTTCTTCTTTTTTGTCATTTTGTAGAAAATCATTTGCACAGAATTTTTGCATGAGATTCAAATAACTTAATGAGATTTTAATGGAGAATGTGTTGCTCATTGTGCAGAATTCATGGTTTAATGCAAAAAAAATTATTCTACTTTTTTACCATACTATAGTTTGTTTTTATTAAATGCAATTAGTACTATTACTATTACTATTACATTTTTATTATTATTTTTTATCTGAAAGATCTGTAGCATCTCCCAGAAGGAAGCAGGTTAACTTCACTTACAGGCCATTCTCCTAACAAAAACATTTTGGATGCTAGCTGTATTGTAATAGATTATAGCAGGCTGCTTAAGATTTGCAATCACTGCAGGGCGTCGGGTCAGGACAGTGGTTATATGTTCAGGAGAGTGGGAAATAATTAGCGAATGTCCAGCTCCAAAGATGTCTTTGAGTTCTTCTTTAATTAGGCACAAACATTCTCCATACAGGTATCCGACTGGTTTGGAAGCAGATGCAGGATACATGGGTGGATGTTTGTGTGTGTGACCAGGCTCGCAGATAGGGTAGGGGATGGGGGGGGATCTGCCCCCCCCACCCCCCCCCGATTCAGATCGACCCCGATCCATCACCCCCAACTAAGGCCAGAAAGAAAACAAAATTGGAGGTTAAGCGCTTGAAGCTCCTTTTTCCAATTACACTGAATGCAGCATGACGTAAACAAACACCGACTCCAGGGGCGCCAAAGTGGTTGCTGCTAGGATGCAGGATGAAGCAAAAAAGGCAACGATCACTGCGTATTTAAAAAAGACCAACAGTGTAAGTAGGCGGGACCGATCTGTTTATGGGTGTTGGTTCTAGTTTCAGTACGTTGTTGTCAGTGTTGGGACTTACTCGTTAAAAGCGCCAATGCCTCACTGCTGACTTTAACAAGTCTCATCTACAAATATGATCCCTCATGAAGTTACTACTTTACTCCAGAAAATAGTGGAGATCTGGAACCTTCAGGCTGAGCAAAGTTTTTAGAGTTTTTAGAGTTTGAAAAACGCCTCCCGCCGAGAGGCTCCCAGTTGGGGAGAGGAGAAGATGTGTGCAGAATGAAGAGCGCAAATATTAGATAAAATGCATAATTGCCAGCAGGTCTGGTCTTTGTTGACTGATCACTTCGTCTGGTAATGACTGACTCTGATTATGAAGCAGAATATCTGATGAAGAAATTCACTCATCCAGCCGGGAAGATTGACGCTGATTCAGCTTCAGACAGCTGGTGCTGCAGAGAGGTGTGTGGAGTTTACAAGCTCCAAACGTTGGGTTTGATGTTTGTTTAACCTTCTCTGGGACGTGATGGATGTAGAAACGATGGTAAAAATGCCACTAACGTGACAGACGTAGCGACAATGTAAAAAAAAAGCCGTAAAAAGAGGCAGATGCCGATGCGTTATATATGGAAGTCAAAGTGTGCCACATAATCATAAAAAAATAAAATATAAAATTTAAAAAGATATTTATTTATTTATATATAAATAAAACCTTTCCAAATATAATGAAAATTTCTAAATATCGTAAAAATACGAAGGAACATCTGTTGGTCAGGCTGAAAAGTTTGGGAACTACTGCTCTAAGTGATAAGTGAATATTGTTTTTTAAATATATTTTATGTGCCGTTTTTTAGGGCTTTTGTGTTTTCTGTAAAGATTGGTATGCTGAAAATCATTTAATGTTTTGCATAAAGCATGATGTTTTGGTTAGTAATTGATTGGGAGAATAACAAATGACTGAATTAAATAGTGGGGCGCCTCTGTCAGTGCACCCCAGGGCAGCTGTGGCTACATCGTAGCTCATCACCATCAGTGTGTGAATGGATGAATGATACACTGTAGTGTAAAGCGCTTTGGAGTCCTTACTCTGAGAGGCTCTATACGAGTGCGGATCATTTATCATTTATAGTGTTG